TTCTGGTTTTTCGTGTTGTTTCTGAAATTCTTCCAGGGACAGCGTGAGTCCCAGCGTAGTAAGAGCTGGACTTTGACAGTTTATAGGAGTTAGCTGACAAACCCTTTATTCCTGCACCAATGCGGAGCCAACCATTAAGTTGTTGCTGCCTTTAAATATACACCATTCGCTTAGCCTATTGTTGAGATGTGACTACGTGCGCTCTGCACCTATTTATGTGGCATCTTATAAATTAACTTGCTGTCCATTATCGGATCTCTGAATACCGCTTCACAATGTCATATCTCATTCATTTTCTAATAACATCTTTACTCGGTCCTCGTTATATTCCATTAAACCTAACATTTTATAGCTCTTTATGAATTTGATTCGACTTATTCTATTCCTATTCTCTGTAGGGTACGGTTGTGCACCGAATAGACAAGGTAGGAAATAAGAACAACTGGCTTGAAAATAATTGTATTAAAGCCGAGGGTGGACATAATGATACTAAGACATATATGGGTGGCATTATACATTGCAAATGAACGTTGTCGGCTTAGGGATTAATTACTTCCCCATTCTATTTCCTATATAAATGTATTTACTGATGATTTATTGGACTTACTTATTTTATCACACTTTGATTATTCACCTTAGCAATTTTACCTTTCTAAAACAGCTTCCAATCCCTTGTAAACGTTGTACTTACCTCAATATTGGTTGTTTATCGTAGGCCTACAACCACGGGATGAAAACGAAACGAAGTCGATTTTCCCGCTCAACCTGGGGGACAATTTTACAATTCAATAACTACACAGCCTAGTTCAGACAATCAGTGTATTTATATATATATATATATATATCAAATATTTAACAGTTGAAACATTCTTAACTTGTAGACAATCTACGGTTTGATATTATATCACACTTGATCGTGTCTGTAAAAATGGCATGCATTTTTATTTAAATTTATGTTTTTATGAAAATATAAATTATTATTATTAGTCCAGCCTATATATACGAACAAACGGAAGAATGAAGTCCTCCTTACCTTATGAACAACTTATCCTTATTCCAGGATGATAACTTTCACCTATGTGCCTTAGTTGCGTCCATGAAAGCGCAATATTACATCAATTGAATCTTACCCGAAATCAAGGCCACCTGAGACCCATAACAACATAGCGGGGATATGCAATAAAGCCACTCTCCAGGCGGCCAGTCCTTGTCTTAACATAACATAACATAACATAAGCTTTATTCCAAATCAGTACTTGTGATACAGAATGGAATTCTCAGCATTTTACTACAATATTGCATCCAGTTTTTTACATTAACAATAAATAAAGTTCTACATAGATTAAAGTTATCTCAACAACATATTAGTATGTCGGTAGCAAAGCCAAAATTAAAGTGTTTGAAGGTGTTAGAAAAGTAGATACTACTAGCATATTTACTGGCGTAAGCGATAGCAAAATGGTCGAGATATACAGAGTGTGAAAGAACGAACAAGAATGTTTTAAGTAGAGTTTGCAAGGAAGAGAGAAACAAAACAGCACATAACAAAAATAAATACAGAATGAAGAGCGAGAAAACGTTGTACCTATAAATGATGTGAGTTGGAAAGACGAGATCCATTGGTTCTACTGACTATTTAATAAGTTAAAGGTTTCATGCCTGATGCATTCTTTATCGCACAGAACACGGGCTAGGTAGGGTATGGATGAGTTTTTGTACTTACTAGTGCGGGCATATAGTTTCCTATATAGGCTTCTTGTTTTCCCTGAAGAGATACATGGGGAGAGTTGTGAATGTAGAGGGTGTTGTGAGTCAGATAAAATGGATTTCGCCCATTTTTCACATGAGTCCATGTGCCTGTCCACCAGAATATTAACAAGCTGGCTAAGTGGCAAACTGCTTACCCTGCTGACAACCTTTAACATCCTACGTAATAAGGTATAGTCTTTCTTCAATAGCCCAGGAAAGACTAAGGGGGAGCAATAGAGAATAATAGGCAGAATACGGGAGTTAACAAATTGTAGGAGTAAGGGTTGGGTTACACCAGAATGTCTTAACTTCTTGATGTAGAAGGTAAGACGGTATATTTTCTTGGAAATCGTCAAGATATGAGACGACCAGGAAAGATCAGAAGATAGAGTGACGCCTAGGTATTTAATTTCCGACTTGGTTTCTATTTCACTGCCATCTATGTTGCACACCTCGTGAGTGCTAACCAGTTTGTTTAGGTCAGATTTATGCCTAAGGTGAAATTAACTGTTTGGCATTTGGAGGGGTTTAAGGTTAGACCGTTTTCCTTGGACCATTGGCTAATTTCCGATAAGAAGCCATTTAGTTTAGAGCAGTCACTTTGACATTTGACAGGTAAAGATACAGTTAGGTCATCAGCATATTTGACAAAGTTAATGTCATTTGAAGACGGTAGGTCATGTAGGAAGAAAGAAAAGAGAAGTGGGGAGAGTACAGCACCTTGGGGGACACCAGCTTCTGTGAGCACAGCAGAGGAGGATTTGCCTTTGTATACGGTGTACTGCATTCTGTTTGAAAAGTAGGAATGCAACCAGTTAGTGACCCAGGACTCGGTTTGTGTCATGGAGAGCTTATTTAGCAAGAGACTTCTAGGTACAGAGTCGAAAGCAGAAGTAAAGTCAAGAAACGTGCAGCGGACATATTTGGCACCTTTGTCTAATGATGAGATAATACTGTTGTGTAAGACGGCTGCAGCGTCTAAAGTACTCCTACCCTGTCTGTAGGCAAATTGTTTGGGGTCTTCGAAGCTTTTAAGGGAGGGTTCGAGTTTAAGAAGTATTAGTTTTTCCATGAGCTTTAGAAACGGGGAAGTGATGGCGATGGGTCTGAACTTTACGTTCTTGCTATTTCCAGGTTTAGGGACAGGGACTATTTTAATGTCTTTCCATGGAACAGGTACAACGTTTTCGGAGAAAGAAGCATTTAGGATATTAGTTAGAGGAAAACATAAAGCATCTGCACATTGTTTTAGAACATATGCAGGTATGCTATCAGGGCCAAGACTATGTGAGGGCTTAAGAGTTTTAAGACATTTCAAAACATCGAGAGTATTGAAGTCCTGGAAGTTATCAGCTACAAGATTGGTAACGTTAGAAGTGGTTATAGTAGAAGGAGAGCGTAAAAAAGACAGATTAAGAGCATTAACATCACAAGAGGGAAAAACATTACATCGCTTACTTTTGCCAGTAATTTCATTGAAAAGTTTCCACATGCTGTTAGGAGATTTGCATGATAAAAGTGTTTGGTTATAGATAGCATTAAGATTTTTGATTTCAGATTTGATTTGAGCATTAATCTTTTTAAGTCCTAACTTGTCTTTGCATTTATATAACATTTCTTTTTGCCTGCGAAGTTGTTTGAGACGGGGAGACGAGAAGCGGTCGAGGCGTTTGAACAGTGTTTGTTTGGGACAGCATATGTCGAGGCAGAACTTAAGATAATCCATTATATTGGTGATTGAGTCATCTAATGTACTTTCATAGAATAGATCCCAGTTGGTATCTTTTAACATGCATCTTAGATTGAGTAAGTTGTCAGATGTGTAGCATCTTTCTTGTGCTTCGTAGACAGGTGTGAGAAGATTTTAATATGTGTTTTGCTGTATATTTTTGGCAAAACGCGGACAATGCAGTGATCGGAGTTATGTATCGGTGAACGTCTACGTGTTTCATATACTCCTTCGTCATTAGTAAAAACGAGTCGAGTGTTTTGTCAAGTCGAGTGGGAAATTTGACTATGTTTGTGTGACCAAGAGCTTCAAGAAAGGAGCAATCTGATGTGTTGAAGTCTCCAGTAATAACGGATAGAGAGTTGTCGAAGTTGGCAGCAGCAAACATGGTGAATTCATCAGCAAAATTAGATAGATCAGATGGAGAGCAACTAGGAGAAATGTACATGTTTGTAATATAGAATTGTTTATATTTGGGGATATGTTTGGGGCGACATTTGACAGTAATACAGTCAATGAAGTCATTTGAGAAGGTGAAGCAGACGTTATTTGAGACAGACCATTTGGAGTGAATAAAAGTTGCAACGCCACCACCATTTTTCTTATTACAACATTGACGGTCTTGACGAAATAAAATAAAGTCCTTTAGTGAGATAAGGTTGTCATCATACAGTTCATGCAACCACGTTTCTTGTAATGCGATTATGGCGGTGTTATGATACGTATCAGTTGACATCAGGGATTGTAGGTACATTATCTTATTTGGCAGAGAGCGACAGTTTGAGTTCATTATGACGGGGACCGTAGTTAAGTGTATTGGTGTACGTTTGAGAGCTCTCTGCCAACCACTACGATGTTTCCTTCTTGGTTTCTTTGGAATATGAAAGTCATTTGGTCGTAAATCATTAATAAAGTTACGAGAGTAAATGATTCTGTTAGAATTCATATTTAAGTGATAAATGTATGCTGGTAAACAGTAAACTGGATGCAAAATGTAGATATTTTGGTAGCAGGCCCAAAAATTCTAACAGGCCGCCAAGGTCACGAACGCTTAAAGGGGACTCACATACTCTAGGAAGGGTTTAAAGGAATGCAGCACATATAATTCTCGGCATGACTAACTTATCATACGAGGAAAGACTAGACAGTTTAAATCTCTTTTCCCTCTCATACCTTAGGCAGAGAGGGGATATAATTACAGTGTTTAAAATCTCAAATAATGACTACGAAACTGACATATTCTCTCCTTGCTTTCTCACCAGGTCGGAAAACTTTAGAGGGCATGGCAGGAGAGTTCAAAATCCAAGAAGAAATCATATTGGTGTTGAGTACACCAATATGATCACACCGAGTCATAAACTCTTGGAACCGACTTCCAGGAGAACTGGTGTTTGCAACCCCACCTGATTCATTCAAGAAGGGTTTGGACAACCACAAAAATTTACTAGAAAAGGGCTGACATATGCTTCAATCCTTTTGTCCTCAACCAATAAATCGGAATCTGAAATATGTAATGGATATTGTTAATATAGAGCGCACTGTTTAAAATTGTGCGCTAGAATCGACCTAACGGTTCGATTCCTATATCCGTCCGAGGTTCAGTGTAAGCCATTGCCTTACCTCCTATCTTTTTCATTTCCATTTCAGTAACATTCGTGCGAATTATTTTCAGTGTAGATTGTTGTGAACTACAGGACGTGAATCAATTCACCAATTAGCGAAATCAAATGATATTCCAGTTAGACAAAAGGAATAATTAAGTAGTGGCTAAATGAGCCAGATTTTGGGCCATTGTTAGTTAAATGATGGTTGAATGGGAAAATATTGATTAAAAAGTGGTTTAAATGGGAAGGTGATGGTTAAATAATAAGAAAATACTGGTTAAATTTTGTTAGGATATTGGGGGAATTGTAACGGGACGTGGGTTCACTAATGGTGAAATATCGGTTCAATTTCCGTAAAATAATGGTCAAAATCCGAAAATTATGTCGTATTACCAAAGTTCGCCCATTTTCTTTTTAAATGGTTATACCCATTATTCACCCATTCTTCACCATTTTCCCGTCAGGTATTTAGGTGTGCTTCATGGAAGTATCACTACTCTTCTGTCTATATTATGATGAAAAGACACTTGAAATTCAGATAGGCGAGATTATTAAGTTCTATGACTAACATTATTGTTTGTACCTGTTCTATTATATCCGCTTACAGAATTGAAGATGTAGTCTGTTAAGTTTTTGGAAAACCTTGGGGCGTGTTTTGGTCGGGGCTTCATAACGTACTGAGTTCTAGGTTAGTAAGTTTGCCAAATGCAACCCCAAAATCCACGGAAGTAGGAGCTACATGAGAGCCTTCAGCGCTTTATGGTACACGTCATCTTTGTTAGTGCCAATGGAAAATATCTTGCTAAAGTAATTCAGTAGGTCTCCAGCTTTTTTGGTTTGATTTTGCTAACCCGTCATTTTTATAAAAGGGTTGGGTGCGTCAGTGTTTTTATTTTTTGAACATATTCAGTTGCGGACTATTTTTCATAATGAATACGTCATTCAGTGATAGGTCTTGAAAAATCCCAAATTTTGCTTTATTCTTTCTAAAACGTGACACTTTCCATCCTGATAAATCGTTTGTGAAAGCGTTTTCTATTGCTTATAGACAATAGTGAGCTTAACATTACCTATACTTTTTCAACCCCACTAAGGCTTTTTCAATGACTTTTTCGACAGAGCGATAAATACAAAGGCTGTGAAGTAAAAGAAAGAAAGATTACTATATCGCTGTGACAAATTTCTTGTTACTGAATCTACTTTTAAGAATTTTCTAAGTTTTGTTTCTCCTTTTTTCAATGCCAGTGGTGTATGACGTGTATGCTTAAAAAACAAATGACTCCATATTTAATTGGTGGATGGTGACTAGCAGTGGAATTCAGGATAACGCGTATTTCGTCCCATTTGGGACTCGTCCTCCAGTTGGATGTGCCTGCATTCCCCAGTGAGTCAGTGATGATGGTCCCACCGGGGCTCGAACCCAGTGCCCATAGTTTCAAACACTAAAGCGTTATGCACTAGACCACTTGGGCCACGAGAGCCACCTGAAACTGAGCACTTCGGTCTAATCAATCTACAGGAAAATCTAAAATTCAATTAAATAGATGACTTCATAGTTTCTTTCTTTTCCTGTGTTAAATGTTACTTCTCACACTGGTTGGGTTTTGTTCTGCTCAGTCGGCTTATTAACAAGGCAGGCAAAGTTAAACTGTCATAGGCAAAACGACGCTTATCCTGATCAACCAATCCGAATTCAGGTGCAAAAAGTCAGATAATCGTTGAAAAATACCCTAAAAAACATTTCTGACGTGATATTATACTATATAATTGTCGCTTATGTGTTGTAAGAATGTCTCCAAGTCTATTTATATTTCTGACACTGTCCTTTGACCTATTCCTTACTGTAACCATAATCCTAACCTTAACCGTAGACCCTAAATCCCAAGCTACAAAGCCATAACGCTATTTAACAGTATAGATATACAGAAAAAGTACCTAGGGAATAAGTGGAATACTGTATCTACCTCCTCCAAGTCCAGAAAGGCAGGCAGACATCTAGAATGACTTTTCATGTCATTTCCTGTATCTGATTGGTTCCCGAAGGTCAAATCTTGAAATACTTTGGCTTTGGCTGTGATACTCGAACTTCGCCACACTTGACTAGTTGATATAAATTGTCAGTCAATCACGTACATATCCCATAAGAGAACTGTAAGGCAAACTTAGTAGGGAGTTTTACAACAACTTTATTCACTAAGTTTTAAGCATCTGTGTTGTACTAGGTGAAAAAAAGTTCAATGACTTGACCATTCGGATATCTTTGTTGATTACTTTGCAATGGCTTCCTTCACTTTACCGACAATCTACATTAACTGCAGTTTTTGAATTTTTACATTATGGTTATTAACTTAGTTTTCAGTAGTCAGTATAGTCTGTCACTTTTCATTTCAGTAATAATTTTTGTATTATTATTTCCTTTAATTCCTAGAGAAACATAGGGCTTCGGCCGCGCGTCTCCATCGCCTTCGGTTCTCTGCTAGAGTTTTAAACAAGCTCCAAGTCTGGGGCTCACTTGGGCTTGTTTAGTGATGTCACTTGGTTTTCTCAGAGTATGGCCAATCCATCTTCATTTCCCACCTGCTTATTTGTTGCACAATCGGTTCCTGGTTGGTTTGCTCCCAGAGATCCCTGTTGATGATCTTTTCTGGCTGGCCATCTGATCTTGAGTAGTATTGAGCGAAGACAGCTGTTGATCAAGGTGTATAGTTTGTTTGAGGCGCTCTTCATGACGCGCCAAGTATCTGATCCGTGTAGTAGGTAGCACTGACTTCACATTGGATTTGAAAATCCGGACCTTATTTTTCATGCTGAGTGCTTTTGATCTCCACACAGACTTGAGAGTAATGAAAGCTTGTCTTGCTTTCCCGATCCTCGCTGCTTTGATATCCTCGTCAGTTCAGTCCGCTTGTAGTTGAAACGATGCTTCCAAGGTAGGTAAAGAAGGTTGTTTCTTTCAGGTTCTTCCCATTTATGCTGATTGTTATCTGTTGTTGGCCAGGAATCTTCGTTACCTCTGTTATCTCTCAGTTCACCTGAAGCACCATCTTTGATGCTTCTTCTTTGGCCAGCTTGTTGCTTTTCACTTGCATATCTTCCAGTTTGTGGGAAATCAGACATATACATCACATCGGCGAAGTCCAGATCCTCCAAGTTGTTTTTTGTGTGAGTCCATTTTATGCCTGTTTCCTCTCTGCCCACCGCTGTCTGTCGCGTTATCCAGTCTACTGCAATCAGGAAAATCATTGGCGATAGTAGGCAGCCTTGTATTGTTAGTATTTAACTCATGTTCTGCAGTCGGATAGAAATACTTGCTGAATTTCTGTGTGTTTGTGTGTGTGTGTGGCGTTTGACTTCATCAGTCAACAGGTTTTGTAGAGATATCACTGGTTGTTGTATGGCTTGTTTGACTGATAAGTCATGTTGCTAAGAATCTTACGCCAGGATAACCGTTGTTTTGTTGTAGCTTGCTGCGAACTGTCTCCTAGGGTGTTTGTGTATGTCAAATGGCATGTATCCAGCGTTGTTGTTTAATTATACCAGAGGTGTATTAATGAATATCTCTTTTTGAACTACGAATGATGACTCAGCATTAAACTTTGCTCTAGTATCCGTCATTTAAAATCACTCTATTTGAAAAAAAAAACAAACTTGAAGCGATTAGAAAAAATGAATAACCTAACAAAGAGTAGTGAGTGTTCGAAATTTCAGTGGTAAACAGTCACTAAATCCTGAAGTACCTGAAATCTGCAAGAATTTGTTTTCAGCGTCCCGTAGATCTTAATCAGCACAGACAATTTTGTTCTATATTATTTTCAAAATTCTAGCCATTTAAACTTGTCTTCAATGTAGTTATCATCTTTCTTGGACATTATTCTGTTATGCTTTTTATTTTTGAACACTGTTTTTAAAGAGTGGTAACTTGAACCGTTTTACTTCGTACCGTGCAGGGTTCGTGTGGTGTGTTAATCGATAAAAGTCTGAGTTGTAGTTCTCACTTAAATACTTATTGTTGCTTTAAGATTGGTGTATGTTTATGTGACGTCCGACAATAGAGAGCATTAGCCATTCACCTGTAAATTCGTACTAACCATGGTGCGTTCGCTAAGCTCAAGCCCCCTTAACGGATTTCGCATTTACGTGACCATGAGTCACATTTATGTGTGTAGACTGCAGACGATATAGTCAAAATGCAGAGTCTTCTGAACACCTTTAGATGCAATCCACGAATGTTTGGTATGCTATTCGCTCCCGCTAAATGTAAGATGATGTTACAGGACTGGGTCACAATGACTCCTAGGTTGGAAATAGGAAGTAAAGTGGTTGGTAGAGCGCGTTGACCACTTCACTTATTTGGGGAGTACCATCAGCCAACGCCAATGGGTTGATCGCTGACGAAATCTCACCACGGATACAGAGGGCTAGTTTCACATATGCCAGTTTACACCGTCTCTGGCGTGGACGTGATATCCGGCTGGCAATAGACCAAAAGGCGGGTGTACTGCTCATCAGTCCGCTCCGTCCTCCTTTATGGCTGGCTGCGAAACCTGGTCATTAAGAGTGGAAGACATGAAAAAGGCTGGCTAACTGTCTTTGATTATAGGTGCCTGCGTTCTATCTCCCGTGTAAAGTGGCATAATAAGGTGAGCAACATTGAAGTTAGGCGTCGAGTGGTACGTAAGGAGAGGAAATCAATCGACGAGGTTGCGAAATTACATCGACTGAGATGGTTAGGACATGTGTTACGTATGCCTAGTCATCGCCTTCCTCGATAATGGGTAATGTTAGCTGACATAGGGTCAGGTTGGAAAAGAGCTAGCGGCGGTCAAACCAAAACATTACTTAATCAGTCAATGAAATTCACAACAGTTAGTTTAAGCCAACCAGCCAGTCACGTAGGAAGGTGTAGACTTCCTGACTGGTTGGGGTCCCGGGACGGTAAAAACCAATGGTTGGAAACAATTGGTGATATGGCTCAAGATCGTTATCAATGGCTGGCGCAGATCCATCCACTCTTTGTGACTTTAATAACCATTGAAACTATATTGTTCTTTGTTATTACTATTCCTTTGTCTCACAACTCTGTTTACTGTCTATAATGTGCATTTCTTCTACTTTCTTCTCTTACTTTGTGTGCTACATGGAGGGAGTGTGGCGACTTGAACTTCCGCACATTTGTGCAAAGTTTTATGTCGGAAACAGACAGACAGACAGTGTAGACTGAAGATACTATCCAGTTATATAGGTTGAAGTAGATAGAGCAGAATTGAAACCTGGGATCTAATAACTGAAAACCGAGTGTTTAGGCGAATAAACACAGACACGAACACTGGAGTGTTTCCTCACAAAAATGAAAGAGCAAATGCGAGCATCTGGCGCTTACAACAGAACTAGTGGACATACAAGTCTACCTGAGAGTAGCTGGGAAATCTTGATTTCAAAACTCTAGTGTGTACAAGGTCTGCAGAATCCGAACGGGTTGAATATCGTATCAACCTATTTTGGCCACTGGAAAACATGGGGATGTAGTTCCTGACTCAGCCTCATCGTCTTGTAAATCAGACTTCAAGTCAAAGGCTTGATGGGTGAAGAAGCTCCTTTGAAAACCCACTTACTTCTTCTTGGCCGTCTTTACAGTATCTCACCTCTTCCACAAATAATGTGTTTTTGTGTGTGGCGTGTCTTCTTGTTAACTATTGTGTACCAAGTTTGTTTTTATTAGCCATAATGTTTTCTTTCTTTTAAACTTCAGGTAAACTTCCGCTCCTCTCGCACGTTATCTCTCTCTCTCGCCTGACATAAATGGAGCAAAGAATAAAAAATGCAGTGAAACGATTAGATCAACTTGATCAAAGGCTAGACGATTATAAACCATTACTTGAACAAAATGTTCTTAATGCTGAATTTGAAATAAGAGCAAATTTTAAAAATTTAATCGAATTATTAAGTAAACGACAATCTCATCTACTTATCCAGTTACATAATATTTCTAAAGAAAAATCATTACTCATTGAAAGGTTGGTTACGATTTTGCTATAGTTATTACTGTTATTATTAGTATTATTATGTTTTCATTCGTTTTTGTTCTGACTGGAATGTAGAGTGCCAAACTTTAAGTGTAAAGTTTCACTAGAACCTGTGTTACTTTTACGGTGTGTGGTTGCTAGTTCCTGGTCTTACTACCTGCCGTCTATACGAGGCTTTGGAATGCGTGTTGGCCGGAAATCGGACCCCAGACACACACAAACATTTGTGGTTGGCTAGCATTCTCCCTGTGAATCGCTGACGCACACAAGTGAATATTTTTATTTTGAGATATACTGGGAAAGATTTATAGATCAATGAAGCTGCGGTTCATTGGTCCAGAGACTCAACTTTTAACCAGTTGGGTCGCGGGTTCGAATCCTGCTGCTCCTCCTAACGAGGTAGCTCTCACATGCACAATAGGCGTGTGTGTGTGTGTGACTCATTGACTGACTGTCGAACTGAATTTCAATGTAGAATTTCGCCTGGGTGGCATAATGGGGTGAGTTATATTGAAGTCAGGCGTCGGTCAAGTGTTAGGTAAGGATAGAAAACCAGCCGACAAGGTTGTCAATTTAAATGGATTGAGATAGTTAGGACATGTATTCATGCCTGGCCATCGATCGCCTTCCTCGACGGTCAATGTTGGCTGATATAGGATAGACCAGGTTGGAAAAGAGCTAGTGGTGGTGATCAAACGGGGGACATAGCCTCCTCAGTCAATGAAATCCATAACAGTTAGTTTGAACCAGACACGTAGAGGGGGTGTAGACTGCTGTCTGGCTGGGGTCCTCAGGATGGCAAGGGCCAATGATGACTGGCGACAACTGATGATATGGTTTAAAATCGTTGTCAATGAATACCGCAGATGAATCTACTGTTTGTGATTTTTGATATTCAATGAAACTCTTTCCATATTACCTGTGGTTTTTGCCTTATACTTCTGTTTACTATCTCTCTGTCTTTCGAATCCCTCTTTGTCTGTCTGTCTGTCTGTTTTCGACATAGAACTTTGCACAAATGTGCGGAAGTTCAAGTTGCCACACTCCGTGTAGCACGCGAAGCAAGAGAATAAAGTACAAGAAAAGCATAATAGAAACAGTGAGCAGAGGGGTGAGACAAAGCAAGAGTAATAACGAAGAACAAAACAGTTTCATTGGAGATCATAAGTCACAAGGAGTGGATACATCTGCGCTAGCCACTGAGAACGATTTTGAGCCATGTCACCAATTGTTTCCAACCATTGATTTTTACCGTCCCGAGGACCCCAACAAGTCAGTCAGGAAGTCTACACCTTCCTACGTGGCTTAGACCAATTGTTGTGGATTTCATTGACTGGTGAAGCCATGTTTTTGTTTGACCTCCGCTAGCTTTTTTCCAGCCTGACCCTATATCCGCAAACATTGCTCATCGAGGGTGGCGATTGCTTGGCATACGTAACACATGTCCTAACCATCTCAGTCTTTGTAACTTCACGACTTCGTCGATTGATTTCTCCTGTTTACCTAGAACTCGACGCCTAACTTCAATGTCGCTCACCTTATTATGCCACTTTACACGGGAAATAGAGCGCAGGCACCTATCATCAAAGACAGCTAGTCTTTTCATGTCTTCCACTCTCAGTGGCCAGGTCTCACAACCATAAAGGAGGACGGATCGGACTGATGAGCAGTACACCCGCCCTTTGGTCGATAGTCGAACATCTCGTCTACGCCAGAGTCGGCGTAAACTGGCAAATGCGAAACGAGCCCCTTGTATTCGTGCTGAGATTTCGTCAGAGATCATCCCGTTGGCGCTGGCTGATGGTACTCCCCAAATAAGTGAAGTGGTCAACGTGCTCTACCAACCACTTCACTCCCTATTTTTAAACTAGGCGTCGATGTAGTCCAGTCCTGTAACATCATCTTGCATTTGGCTGGAATCCCTCTTTACTCTCTTCTCTTGTTTTGTGTGCTAAATGGAGACTGGCAGCTCGAACTTCTGCACATCTTTGCGAAGTTCTGTGTTGAAAGCGGTCAGTCAGTAGAATTTCACAGAGAAGTACACCGCAGCAGTTCATGATGCTGTACTCCTTCCATGTACTGCACAAAAGCAAGAGAAGAGGGTAATGAGAGATTCAAAAAGAGAGAGTAAGAGATAATAAACAGACGTGTGAGTGAGGGAAAAAGAATAATAATGTCGAAGGACAATAGAGTTTCATTGAATATGGCAAATAACAAAGAGCGAATGCATCTGCACTAATCATTGAGAACTATTTTGAGCCATATCATCAACTGTTTCCAGCCATTGGTTCTTGAAATCCTAACTATCCCAACCAGGCAGTGTACATCCCCTACCCCTTTATGTGACTCGGACTAGCAGTCGAAGATTTCATGGATTGTTGTTAGATTTTCATCTAACTGCTCTTCAGTCTTTTCCAATCTAGTGCTATGTCAACTAACACTTCCTTTCTCAAGTTAGACGGTGGCTTATCTCCTATCCATCTCAATCGATGTAGCTTCACGGTATTATAGATTGACTTTCCCTCCTTATCTAATACTACGCCTAGCCTAGCCTGGCCACTCAGTCAAAGACAGTTAGCTTCTTAAAATCATCTACTTTCGTTCGATAGCTATATCTCACAGTCATAAAGGAGGATAGAACAAATAGCTGCATAGTACACTCGTCCCTTGACTGACAGCCAGCTTTCACGTCTAAGCCAGGCATAAGGTAAGTTGGTAAATACACCACATGAGCTTTGTGTATCCACGCTGAGATTTCATCATCGATCAATCCATTGGGGAGGAGAGGGGTGAGGCAGATTACTAAATAAGTGCAGTGGTCAACACACTCAATCACTTCTATGCCTGTCCTTAATCTGGGATTCATTGTAATCCAGTCCTGCAGCGTCATCGTCTTACATTTCACAGGTGTGAGTTGTATGCCAAACACTCGAAGATTTCTGCTTCTCAAAGTGGTGAAAAAAGACTCTGCATTTTGCCCGATTCTTCACCCTAGGAGGACAATGTCATCTGCATTACTCAGAGTCTCAACAAGACTGTTAATCCGTATGTCGCTAAAGTTAGTTGCGACCACTTCAGATGACAACTCTCTGTAGTCTCTTGCACGGTAGCATGACCTCAAATAGATAGTGCCTTGATTAGTGCGACATACTTGCTTAGCACTCCCTTCAAAGCCAAACATTTACATAGCACTTCTCGGTCGACAGAGTCAAATTCCACCCTTACTTCAAGAAGTATGGCAAGTTTTGGATGCCGGTAAGTTAGTTTATGTTCCATATTAGTTAGTTTATTGGATGTATCACACAGTCAGTGAAACAGTATTATTTACTGGATGACGACGCCTTTCGAACAAAATTTATTGTTCATAATAATAACATCAATTATAATCACACGACTTCGAAACTTGAGTTTTATAGTTTCTTTCGTTGTTCTCTCCTATTTGTCGTCGTGGGCGTGGTAGTAGAATTTTCCAGATATCCCGCTGGACAGGTGTTGAATCATTCCTGTTGCACGTGTTCGCAGTTGATTCGATAAACAAGGCTTCTGTTATCTGTCTGTCTGTCTGTCTGTTTTCGACATAGAACTTTGCACAAATGTGCGGAAGTTCAAGTCGCCACATTCCGTGTAGCACGCGAAGCAAGAGAAGAAAGTACAAGAAAAGCAAATAGAAACAGTGAGCAGAGGTGTGAGACAAAGGAGTAATAAAGAAATACAAAACAGTTTCATTGGAGATCATAAGTCACAGGGAGTGGATGCATCTGCGCCACTGAGAACGATTTTGAGCCATGTCACCAATTGTTTCCAACCATAGATTTTTGCCGTCCCGAGGACCCCAGCCTGGAAGTCTACACCTTCCTACGTGGCTAAGACCAACTGTTGTGGATTTCATTGACTGATGCCAAGTTTTTGTTTGACCGCCGCTAGCTTTTTTCCAGCCTGACCCTATATCCGCTAACATTGCTCGTCGAGGGAGGCGATGGCTTGGCATACGTAACACATGTCCTAACCATCTCAGTCGATGTAGCTTCACGACTTCGTCGATTGATTTCCCCTGTTTACCTAGGACTCTACGCCTAACCTCCATGTTGCTCACCTTATTATGCCACTTTACACGGGATATAGAACGCAGGCACCTATGATCAAAGACAGCTAGTCTTTTCATGTCTTCCACTCTGAGTGGCCAGGTCTCACAACCATAAAGGAGGACGGAGCGGACTGATGAGCAGTACACCCGCCCTTTGGTCGATAGTCGAACATCTCGTCTACGCCAGAGTCGGCGTAAACTAACAAATGCGAAACGAGCCCCTTGTATTCGTGCTGAGATTTCGTCAGAGATCAGCCCGTTGGGGCTGATGGTACTTCCCAAATAAGTGAAGCGGTCAACGTGCTCTACCACTTCACTTCCTATTTCTAAACTAGGAGCCAGCGTAGTCCAGTCCTGTAACATCATCTTGCATTTGGCGGGAGCGAATCGCATGCCAAACATTCGTAGATTGCTGTTCAAGGTGTTTAGAAGACTCTGCATTTCGTCAGCGTCTTCGCCTAGAAGGACTATATCGTCTGCATATTCCAAGTCAACGAGATTATTCCCAGGTAGCAAGTCAATCCCTGAATCGCTGAAGTCACCTAGGGTTAAGTCCATTAACATTATCAATCTCTCCCTGTATCCTGTCACATTAGATTTTAAAACTCATTTTATCCCATCCTGTTGTATGGTTGTGTGTAATTGCATGTAGCGTGTTCTATAGCTGAACTATTCTCTATATTTCTTATCTTATTCGGGTCAACTAATCTAGGTTTTGTGCTCCACTAGTCTGACTGACTGCCCCTGTTCTACTAGTTTGACCTATGTATTTGACCTGACAATGATTCCAGGAGGGTATTAGATAAACTAAATTGTTTTGTTTTAAAGGTTCCACGGGATCCCTTATCCGACAAAGCTTGTTTGTAATTGAGTTTGTGGTTGGTTTGAATGCCAGCCACTTTTATTCCTGCCCGCCTTGTTAAGAATTCTGCGTAAGGCTTCCGAGGTTCCTTCCTTGTATGGAATTACTGTTGATGATTCAGATTCCTTATTGTTGGTGTCGTCATTAATATTATTATTATTACCACTATTGCTACTATCATTACTTGTTTTATTTTTACATTTCCTTACATATTTCCTGACTAATTTGTCCGGGTAATGATTAAGTTTCAAAGCTTCTCTTATATGCCTCAGTTCCTGTCTTAGATTTTCCTTGGTACTACTTAGTTTTTGTGCTCTGTCACCTAAACATTTCACTAATCCTATTTTCACTGACATAAGATGGGATGATCGGAATTTCAAATATCTGTTTGTATGTGTGTGTGGGTTTCCTGTAAACACTAGTGTGTTTAACTTCCCATCTCTTTTACTTTTTACGCTACAATCTAACATTGGAAGCTCGCCTTCCTGACTTTCCAATTCATAAGTGAATTGAATTGCCTCCATATTTGAGGTAATGTGTTCGAAAAATCTGTCTATATCTTGTGTTCTACGTACAGTGAATGTGAACGTACCTCCACCATACTTTTGGGGTGGGGGTGAACGTTTCAATCGCTATGCTTTCCCACCTATCCATGAATATATCTGTTACAACCGGGGATATTGGTGATCCCATGACGACTCCCTCAGTTTGTTTGTATATTTTCCCCTGTGCAATTCAGGCACAACTGCACTCCCAGGAATATGTGCAGTAAATAATACTGTTTCATTTTGTATGTGTGTGTGTGATACATCTAATAAACAAACTAATGTGGAATTACTATCACAGTGCCCAAGTTTTACATACACATATTAATAATAAGTGTGTTCTTTGGCCTAAAGCCTACCTGATTCTCATGGGTCTGCTTCTCTGTCGAGCATCGGTCAGTTTGCGCATGATTACTGAACCTAAAATTTTAGATAGTAGAAAGAAGGATCGGGCGAACTGATGTACAGTGATGTACATGCTATTTGATCGATACCCGGATATCATATCTACGCCAGAGAGATGATGTAGGTTGGATACTACGACATTCAATTATTATTATTATCACCATAATTTGTATTTCATTTGTTTTTTCCGCTTTTATTTTAGTAATAAACAAAAAATAGAATCTCTGAAATCACTCCTATTACAATCTTGTCTATCAAGAAGTGAATATGATGCTAAAATTAATGAGTATCTACGTAAAGCTGAGTCAATCAGTTTAACAACGGATTTCACTCCATTTATCACCTTCTCCAGAGAAAATGTACAATTGCATGAATTTATTTCAACATTTGGCCGGCTGACTTGTCGATATTCTGGACATTTTGCTGATCCAAATAAACCATCAATTTGTCTGCCTCGTGCATTTGAAGAAGAAGATGATTGTTGTGGAGAGAATAATGATACTAGAATAGATTATTTAAAGCATTATTCTGCTGTATTTAATCGTGTTAAACAACAACAACAACCGGAACACCAACAGCCACCGTCGCAGCAGAACCAACAATGCGCTTGTCATGATCCAGCAGTTAAACAATGGTTATCCTTGATTGAACATAAATGCAAATCAAATCGTACTTATGATATGATGAGTGATATGTATTCAGGAAAGGATAATAATAATAATAACAAGAACAGTGGTAGCACAGTAAATACTCCTTCTCTTCAGAGTAATAATTATTCATTGTGTGTAAGTAGTTGAAAACGCCTTTTTTGTTGGTTTGTATGTTTATTTCTTCCTGATTTAGCACTCTTCAATTGTGTGTACCCGCCGGGTTTCATCGTATCTAAAACCATCCTGCCTGGCTGGCTGATTGGCTATCTGTAATGTTTTGGTTTGACCACCACTAACCTTCTCTTTTCCAACCTGATCCATCATATTTCAGCTAACATTGCTCATTGTCGAGGAGGGTGGTGACTAGGGATGCATATGTAACACACGTCCTAACCATCTCAGTCGATGTAGCTTCACAACCTCATCGATTGATTTCCCTTCTTTATCTACCACTCGACGGCTAACCTCAGTATTGCTCACCCTACTAAGTCACTTCACACGGGAGATAGAACGCAGGCACCTATAATCAAAGACAGCTAAGCGGTCTTTTCATGTCTTCCACTCTCAATGGCCAGGTTTCACAGCCAGCCATAAAGGAGGACGGAGCGGACTGATGAGCAGTACACCCGCCCTTTGGTCGATAGTCGAATATCTCGTCCACACCAGAGTCGGCGTAAACTGGCATAAGTGAAACTAGCCCTCTGTATCCGTGGTGAGATTTCGTCAGCGATCAACTCGTTGGTACTGGCTGGTGCAATTTTCCAAATAAGTGAAGTGATCAACGTGCTCCACCAACCACGTTTTTAATAAATGGATTTAAAAGACGTGTAAACATCAATTTTATGTCCTGCCTCCTCTGTAATATGTTTCGCAATATGGGTCTCCTGTTCTCGTCATAAATTGATTCTGGGGTCTCTTTGTGCCTATAAAGCTATTTAGGAACATGCTCTGTAGCCGTCTTCGCTTAGCTTATAGCCGATAGTAAATCTAGAAAAGAAAGAAGATGGGGTGTGTGGGAGGTTAGCAACTCGTCTCCGTGCTCTGGAGAAGAAGACAGCGCTATAGCTCCTGAGATTTCGCATCTGAAGCTTGAATTCCTACACCCCTCTGGTAAAGGAAAAGGAATTGAGAAGACTGGTAACAGACTGAGTGCAGTTGCACACCTTCATGGGCTACAGCAAAGGATTGCTTTCCTACAGTGTATTTCAACTTCTTTTCTCCAAGAAGATATCAAAAGTTGAAGGTGAATCTCACTGACAGTAATAAACATTTGTCTTACTCTCTGCCTGTAAAGGAAGTTCCAATGATTGCTGTTAGCTATCTTCATGAACTTAATCAACATTCCTCTTGTTGTTGTTGTTGTCGTTTAAGTCTGTAGGTATATTTGTGCATTGGCCTTTATATTGTTGAGCATATCAGTATTTTCAAGAATTAGTTCGTAGGGACTTTATTTGTTTTAGGTTAGACTATGGACTGATATCAGTTAGGGAACTATTGAGAACGAGAGACTACTGGACTGTACTGTTTCTTCCTAGTTTGGGACTCATCGGCAACACGCACCCACCACCGGGGTTCGAACCTAGGACCTTTCGGCTACAAGGCAAGCTCGTGTACCTTTCAGATACTGGGACCCGATTCATAGTGGCTCCCAACATGGCTAAGTAAAGGTGTAGTGAAAACCATCATTAACAGTTCGATATTGGACCATCCGGTGCAAACTGGCCGGCCACAAAGCCAGCCAGCATTGAAGAATCCTTCTCTATCATCATCATCTACCGGGTGCCTAATAAATTCCCAAAATCATCAAAGCACCGCATGCTTCAAACATCAGAGGCTATTACAATTCGCTTCAAACAACCACTAGTGTTTGTTTCTGTGTTCAAAAAAAAGCAAATCCAGCCAGCCCCTCCTACTACTGCCCTGACCGGCCTTCAGTAGAAACTATAAACTCATGAATTTGTATTATTATCTTTCCTGATTTTTCTGACATTCAGCGTGTATTGTTATGTTGATGCTATTGAGCTGTAATCTATTAATTTTATTATTGATTCGATGTTATTTAAACAGCGACATTAATGTTATTCATAACACTAATTCATTCATTCATTCATTCGCTATACTGTATATATGACTGTAGAGCCTGATGATGAAGTTATTGGAAAGAGTATTGATTTATTTATTTAAACGCATAAAAACTTGGTACAATATGGCACCAAGAAGGATGCGCCACACAATAATAGTAAAACAACATAGATCAAAATAAAAAAAGAAAGAAGAGAGAAAAATATATATATGTAAGTAGAGAACGGATAAAGTACTTCATCTGGAAGGAAAACAGTCATGTCTAACAAATTCAAAGAGTATTCGTTAACTATTATCGGGAAGGGAAGAAAGAAGGAAATTGCAACACGTGTAATAGCACGCGATAAGTTTCATTGATTGTTTGTTGCTTCATTCAATTCATTGTGTAAGGGCTGAGAAACTGCCCGGGTGCCCAGACCTAAGCAGGTGGTTGAAACCTGTGAAACCTGGCCTCTCCGAGCTGAGGATGTGCGGCGACTCTGCGTGTTCGATCACCGCTGTCTCCGCAGGATTGCTTGCGTTCGATGGATAGTATCATCGCGTGAGTAATTCTGAGGTTCGGCGGCGTGTGTTTGAACAAAGTGGAGATCACTATTCCTTGAATGTCGTCATCTGGAAACACCGGCTCCGGTGGCTTGGACATGTGCTTCGAATGTCACCCCAGAGGCTTCCGTACAGGTCTCTGTTCGCTAGCCCTGGGACGGGATGGAAAAGGCGGAGAGGTGGTCAGTCCATGACGTGGCGTCGTGGGATGAAGGATTTTTGTGCTAGATTAGCATCGGTTGGTGTGTCACGACTCCCTGGTTGGGGTCCGAGAGATAGCTCAAATCGATGGCTCGAAACGTTATCGGATATGGCCAAGAATCGTAATCAGTGGCGAATGTGTTGTGATTTCCTTCTTTCTTCCCTTCCCGATGATAGCTAACGAACACTGTTTGAACTTGTTAAGCATGACTGTTTTCCTTCCAGATGAAGTTCTTTATCCGTTCTCTACTTATATATATTTTTTCTTTTCCTTCCTTCCTTTTTTTTTGATCTATGTTGTTTTATTATTATTGTGTGGCGCATCTTTTTTGGTGCCATATTGTACCAAGTTTTTTATGCGTTTAAACAAACAAACAAAACACCCGCCGAGCCTTTGACTTGGAGTCTAATCCGAAAGGCAGCGGAACAGCGTCAGTCAGGAGCTGCATTCCCATGGTTTCCGGTGACCCATATGGGTTCATCATACGCGATTTGATCCGATTGGATACTGGAGCCCACCATGTACCCCATGGTAACTGCTTTTAGTTTAACCGCTATCATCCAAACAACCTTCCTGACATGGTAGGACCTGCAGGGACAGAGTCCAGTCCCAGTCAGTTAAGCATGTTGGGTCATTACGACGGTCATTCAAGCCCGGCCACCACAACAAGGTAGCAGTTATCGGCCGAGATTGGAAAGAGTGCTCTTTGTTCAGTATCCATTCTTTTAATAAATATGCTCTTTTTAAAATTTTTTTAATATTTAGGATTCAATATTTTCAAGAAAAACATCATCACTGCATAACTTTGAAGTGAATCCATCATCATCGGCAGCACAATCAACTGTACATGCTCCTTGTTATCGTCCAGATACTACTACTACAGGTGTACCTAATTGGTTAAAATTGTTGGATAGACAACAAATTGCTGAAATTTTATCTTATCATAAAGGAATTCACGAATGTATGGATGGACTGAAATCACCGGATGATTACCTAGGTATGTGTTATTGATTGATAAACTGTTGCCTGTTACTTATTTATGCATCTGTTGTCATTATTATTCCCCGCTGGGTTGCAGCCAACTGAGATTCTGTCGATCGAGAGGAGTACTATGGTGGTGTTTGGTTGTGAAGGGAATGTCGAGAGAAATACATCGCACTGATCAATGCACTCACTCTACTCGAACTCTTGCAGCCAGCCAGAGCCAAAGTAATAGACTATGGAGATTTGTCATCTGACAACTGTGATGACAACCAGTAGTGGTGGTGTCCATCAGAGAGGATGCCAACCCACTGTCCCCGTTTCTCTCCAATTTCATCATAGATACTGTACTAGTCGACTTAACCCTAACTGTGACTTCAGCGACTCAGGGATTGACTTGTTACCATGGAGGGAATAGTAGTCTAGTTGACGTAGAATATGTTGAGGATGGTATAGTCGTTTCTCCTAGGTGAGGTGAAGACGCTGACACCTGAACACCTTAAGCAGCAGTTTTCGAATATTTAACGTGCGGTTCTCTCCTGTCACATGTGTTAAGTGAATCTAGAGGATTGGACTACGTTGACTCACTCGTAGCTTAAAATAGGCGGGGGGGGAGGAAGTGAAGTGGTTGGTGGAGCGTGTTGATCACTTCACTTATTCGGGTAGTTACATCAGCCAGCGCCAACAGATTGATCGCTGACGAAATCTCACCACAGAGACAGAAGGCTCGTTTGGCATTTAATAGCCAACTTACTCCATCTCTGCCTTAGTAGCCGTGATATCCGGCTGGCTGTTGACAATAGGGCGTGCATACTGTCACACAGAATCGAAGACTTACAAGCGAGCGAAAACCGACAAACTGGTCGAAGAAGCAGACAGTGAAGACAGGTGAACATAGGCAAGATGGAGGTGATGAAAATAACCAACCAACCAACCAACAACAACAACAGCAGCAACATCCAGCGTCAATCACCATCAGTGGGAGGGATTTGAAAGGAGGTTACTTCATTCACTTATATAGCTTTGAGCATTGTCTCAACTACAGGCAGTCGGAACGGACGATTATGTCAAATAGAGCGAGAATCGGGAAGGCGAGAAACACATTCACTCATCAACCTGAAACCAATCTGGAAATCTTCGTCACTCAGCCACCATCAACAACAAAATTCGGTAGGATTTTCAATGCAAACACGTCAAGTCAGTCAGTTCTTCTATAGGGATCAAAAACTTGGCGGGCGGGTCACAAAGAATATTTCCAACAGGTTGCGATGCAGACCTTTATGAGCAACTGTCTTCACCCTATACTGAAGATCATATGGCCGGGTCGGAAAGAATCACCAACAAGAAACTCTGACTGGGGAACTAACAAAACAAGAACCAATCGCTCAACAACAACAAATATGCATGAGAAAGTGGAGATGGATTGGACACTCGCGGCTGAGGAGGCCGGTGGGTGAAATCGCGTGCGCGTCAGGCCATTGCTCGAGTGGAACCAGGCCGGAAGTGAAGCAGCGAGTGGGACGTCAGTGCAAGGGTGACATGGAGGAGATCGTGTGAAGAGGAGTTGAAAGAGTATGGACTAACATGGACGCAAGTGAAAAGTACAGCAGAAGGAAGAAAAAAGCAAGTGGAGACATGCAGTTGAAGCCCTATGTTCCACTAGGAACTCAAGGGAACAATAATAATACTGTTCATCAGTAGTTCGCTTTATCCTCTTTGATTGGCTTGCTGTGAGACGTGGCCATTGTGAAAATGGAAGATATGAAATGACTAGCCATCTGTCTGTGATCATAGGTGTCTGCATTCTATCTTCTGTTTTAGGTGGAATTATAGGGTGAGAAATATTGAGGATAGGCTTTGATCGAGTGCTAGGTTGTGGGGTGTGTGTGACCAATCGACGAGGTTGTGAATTTACATCGATTGAGAGAGATGGTCAGGACATATGTTACGCACGCCTGGCCTAGTCTAGCCATCGACTTCCTCGACGGGCAAGGCAATGTTAGCTGACACAGGATCAGGTTTTGAAACATTGTCTTCATCAGTCAATGAAACCCACAACAGTTGGTTTAAACCCACCAGCCGCTTAGGGAGGTGTAGACTGCCAGTCTGGTTGTGGTCCTCGGGATGGTAAGAACCAGTGAAGGTTGGAGACTATCAGGAATATGGCTCAAAGTTGTCGTTGTCAATGGCTGACCCAGATGCATTCACTCTTTGTGATTTGTCATGTTCCATGAAACTCTTATTGTTTTTTTTCACATTACTTTGCGTTTTACCTCATTCACACTTCTGTTCATGATCTGTCTTTATTCTCTTCTGTTGCTTTGTGTGGTACATGGAAGGAGTGTGGCAACTCAAACTGGTGCAAACATTTGTGCAAAGTTCCATATTGAAACCGTCTCCAGCGTTAGCTGTATTCGATCATAGGTGCCTGCGTTCTGTCTATCTCCCGTGTGAAGTGGTATAATAAGGTGAGCGATATTGAGGTTAGGCATCGGTCGAGTGCTAGGTAGGGACGGAGGGGAATTCAATCGACGAGACTGTGAAAGTACATCGATTGAGATGGTTAGGACATGTGTTACGTATGCACGTCTAGTCATCGCCTTCCTCAACATCGGTCAATGTAAGCTGACATAGGGTCAGGGTGGAAAAGAGCTAGCGGCGGTCAAACCAAAACATGACTTCATCAGTCAATGAAATCCATAACAGTTAGTTAAAGCCACGAAGGGAGTTGTAACTACCAGTCTCGTTGAGGTCCTCAGGACGGAAACACGAATGACGGGAGAAAATTAGTGATATAGCTCAAAATCGGTCTCAATGGCTGGCACAGATGCATCCACTTCTTGTGACGTATAATTTGCACTAAAACTGTATTGTTCTTCGTTATTGCTCTCCCTTTTGTCTCACATCCCTGTCTACTTTCTTCTCTTGATTTGTGTTCTACAAGGAGAGTGTGTGGCGACTTGAACTGGTGCACATCGGTGCAAAGTTCTATGTCGAAAACAGACAGACTATGTGTTGAAACTAGTCAGTCAGTCAGTCAGTCAGTCAGTCAGATTGCACTTTCATATATAAAGGTAATAATGGAATGAATCTTCCCGCTAATTTATCACTTTTCAATAAATTGTATTCTTGAAATTATAAAATGAAATTCATATTCACCAATCAAGAATTCATACTCATGTCATCCAAATATTTCATGTTCCAACCATGTTCAGAATGTTGACTATTCTCCCTCTTCAGTAATTATGGCCACTGAGAGTGTGGACGACATGAAAAGTCTGGCTAACTACCCGTCTTTGATCATAGGTGCCTGCGTTCTATCTATATCCTGTGTTAAGTTGGTATAATAGAGTGAGGAATACTGAGGTTAGGCTTCATTCGAGTGCTAGGTAAGGAGAGAGAGGAAATCAATCGACGAGGTGGTGTGAAATTACATCGACTGAGATGGTTAGGACATGTATGAATTCCTAGCCTTCGCCTTCCTCGACATCAGGCAATGTTAGCTGACCTAGGATTGATCAGGTTGGAAAAGAGAAGGCTAGTGGTGGTAGTCAAACGAAAACATGACTTCATCAGTCAGTGAAATCCACAACAGTTAGTTTACGCCGCCACCCAGCCGTGTAGGAACGTGTGGACTTCCTGATTGGTTGGGGTCTTCCGGACGGTAAAAACCAATGAGGGCTGAAGACAACTGGTTATATGGCTGGCTCAAAATCGTTGTCAATGTATAGCGCAGATGGATCTACTCCTCGTGACTTATAATTTCCAAGAAAACTGTATTGTTCTTCGTTATTACTGTTTCTTTTGTCTCATATCCCTGTTTACTGTCTCTATTATGCATTTCTTCTATTTTCTTCTGTTGGTTTGCGTGCTACCAGGAGAGAGTTTGGCAATTTGAACTTCTGCACATCGGTGCAAAGTTCTATGTCGAAAACAGACAGACATCTATATTAATTTGTTTATTATATATATATTACGCAGTGAAACGGTATTATTAGAATTTATTTGGTAGCTAGCAGTGGAATCCAGGATAACGCGCATTTCGTCCTATTTGAGACTTTTCATCTGGATTTACCTGCATTCCCCAGTCAGTAAGTGATGGTGTTCCCACCGAGGCTCGAACCCAGTGACCATAGTTTCAAACGCCAAAGCGTTATCTACTAGATCACTTGGGCCACGAAAGCTGGCCACCTCTTGTGAAACGGTTGATATTAATTATTTTAATTGAATTTTAGATCTTCCCGTCGATTGATTGGACCGAAGTGCTCGGTCTCAGGTTGACATGTCTGTCGGCTTCTTGTGCAGATGCTTCGACGATGTCTGGGCATGTAATTAGAAGTTAATTTGTTGGTGTGGATGGTGACTAGCAGTGGAATCCAGACTTCGTCGATGCATCTGCACAAAAAGCCGACATGTTAACCGGAGACCGAGCACTTCGGTCCAATCAATCAATTAATCGACGGGAAAATCTAAAATTCAATTAAAAACGGTATTATTATTTTTTGCTGCATGACAAAGTGTCGTACACACACCTGATTATTATTCATAATTATAACATCAATGATAATCACATGACTTTGGAACTGGAGTTTTATAGTTTTTGCTTTGTTCTCTCCTATTTGTCGTAGGAATGTCTGGGTGGGGACAGGTGTTGAATCATTCCTATTAACACGTGGTTTGATTCAGTTCATTCGACAAAGAAAGCTTCCGTTATCCATCTCTCTCTCCCCCTATTCACCGTGTTTTATTACATTTTAAAACTGCCATCTTATCCTATTGTATGGTTGTGTGGTGTGTTATTGCATGTGGTGCTTGCTGTAGCTGAAATATTCTGTGGATTTTTTATCTCAGTGTGTAAGGTTAACTAGTCTAGATTTCGGTAGGTTTTTGTCCTCGGTTAGTCTGACTGACTAACTAACTCCGTTCTACTACTTTGACGTATGTTTTGAACTGACAATCATCATACCAGTGGGGTAGGGATCCATTACGCGCCAGGCCCCCCCGAGTGAAACCTGA